TTCTGGATGCAGCACGTCTATTAGGCTGATCATTTGTGAACATAGATGCATTTGGGATCACATGAAGATGAAGTTTTCCCCCCCGTGGCTATGTGAACCTCACAAGGGCGACTTTAAAACAAGTGATTCTAAGTCCAAACAACCACACAAGACAGCAACGAATGGGTTCTGCATCTGAACGCTCTCTGCAGGGACCTTCCTCGTCGAAGATTTCTGGGATTGATAAATGTATATTTATCTCCGCAGATGGTGGAACAGACCTTCTTGTTTAAATCCAACCATAACTCCAATAAGAATCTATTCTCCTGTAATCATTTACACCACGTAGCAACAACATTAAAACCACTGACAGGTGAAATGAATAACATTAATCATCTCATTACGGCGCAATGTGCTGGGAAACTTTTCGGTTCTGGCGTTCACTACTTTGACACTTCGCAAATACCTTAGTCTCGCTTAACCAGCCCTGGGTTCTGTAGTACATAATGATCTGGCTGCACCTCGTTATTATTCGAGTTTAGGAGGGAATACTGTGGTTTGTGTATATTTCTTTAAATCAATCACAGAGCTAAGTGAAGAGATGGGTGGAATTGCTTTGGTGGAACTTTTGACAGGACAAGCATTGTCAAAAACGGATAATTCACCGGATAAAGGTTGCCTCACTGCACGATCCAGATCCTCAGCAAAACTTTCAGCGTCGTAGGTTGTCATTCTTTGCCGTGATGAAGTGGATTATAAAAGAAGATCCGGTGAGTCATTGCTCCGGTGGCTTCCCCTCACAGGACAATGAGCCCCACACCGCATCGCAAAAAAAACTGCTCAGGAACACGACCAAGAGCCCAAAGCATCAAATCCTGCCTCCGAACTCGCCAGATCAAAATCTGACTGAGCATCTGGAGCATCTGCCAGACCGAGCTTAATCTGCCGAGGCCCGACTCTGCAACCCGCGGGACCCGAAGGACCCGATGCCAGACTCCACAGGACATCGCCAGATGTTGCTCGTCTGCGGCTCAGTGGATCAGAGCTGTTTTTACTGGCACAAGGGCGACACGCACAATATGAGACGGGTGGTTTTAATGTTGTGGCGAATTAAGTGTTGCTGAGACTTAAGTGAGCCGGTGATCAACATGATTTTCGTACAAAGACTGATTCTATATCGTGTGTTTGGGCCCATATCTTACATATCCAATCTGATTTGAGGCATCAGCGTCTTGTTTTCCAGGGTTGAAGATAAACCAAACATTTAAATGGTGGTTTAAGTCCCTGCTGTGTCTTCGTAAAAAGCCTGAGGGTTCTGGTATCTTCAGCTGAGACACTGACTTCTAGAGACAGGCTCCTCTTCATTACCTAATCTCAAACAACAAAAAGTTAGAAAAAGTACTGTAAGGGCAATTATCTTAGAGGGGGAAAAAAAGAAAAAGTTTCCCCCCTTTCACTACTTTGCAGGCCAGTGCTTCTCTTCAAATGTGAACTAATTTGGCAATAATGATCAGTTGTCAAAGCCGCCTGTCCCTTTTACCGATTACGGACGGCGGGGGGTCTTATGAGGATCACCAGAAGGACGGTACTTTTGTTTACCAGCGATGTCTTTACCTCCCTCTTTCTCTGTCTCTCAGCCTCTGAGTGCACACCATCGGAGGCATCTCAGCGGGGGGGATCGTCCTTCCCAGGCTGAATGCACCTGCTACAGTAAACATCCTCGCTCCTGCTTCACTCTGGGACGGACGCAAATCTCTGTGTCGATGCAGTGGGGCGAGGAGAGAAAAAGGACGTGTTTTGGTTTGTACTTTTAATGCAGCCAACTATGAGAATATTTGTGCAAAAATTGAGGAAAGCGCCGAATACGTCCACTTAAGCACACGCTGAACATTCTGACATGAAGGGTTAATATTCAAGTATCCTTCAGAGGACTCCGTCATCGTGTCGCTCACATTGTAACGTGAGCCAATTCAGCGGAGGTAAATATATTAAGTAGTCGTTCAGATTTATTCAGTCAAGGCCTCTAATCCCTTTTCAAATACTTTCAAGTGTATTTTTTTTTCCCCGTCATGAACTTTAAAGGTGCACATGGAAGTGATAAATCGCACAGTGGCACAGAATATCATTTAAAGGTCAAATAATTCAACATAATTACACTATATCTTATTGTAGAGCATTTCCTGTGATGAACAATTAAAAAAATACTATATTTGAAATACAGGTCTTAAAGTAGAAACTCAAACATGAACACACCTGTGATCACTAAGATAAGAAAACCTGCAATCACTGAAACCAAACTGATTCCAGCTGTGATTTCTCATGAGGCCAACTGCGTGAAAGCAGATATAAAATGACCCATGAGCACCAGAACTTTCTCCGTTTTGGACCTATGGGCTGTGTGTCTATCTGCATCATGGCAAAAGAACTGCCAAAGGAACTGAAAAATCTGGTTGTGTGACTTTACAAAAATTGAAAATGATACAGGAAGATCAGTGAACAACTAAAAAAAAAATCAGTTAAAGACACAGTTGCAGCAGTAATCAGGGAACAAACCACAGTAACTAATTAGAGTCACAGTGGCGGTCCTTCTGAAATGGTTAGAGCTCTGAAAGCTCTGAAAACAGACAGGGAAGTGCTTTAGACTTGGCAAAAGGGTTTATCAATGGAAACCAGAGTTTCTGTGACAGCTCAGACTGGATGGATGCTTTCTCACCGGCACAGAACTGCAAGATCGCTAAAGAGCATGAAAAGAAGCTTGGTGAGTCGTCCATCCTTTGGCCAGATAAGAGCGAGATAAGTTTGTTTGTTTGAACCTTGTCAGGACGACCACAGTGAATGCATGATCCAAGCAGTAGAGCACAGAAGTGGGAGTTATGTGGGGCCTTGTGAGTGCAAAAGGAATACATTTATAGACCATGAATGTCTGTGGATATACCAAAATACTGGCTGACAAGATAAATCCAAGTCTGCAGCATCTTGGCAGAAGAGGAATATTCCAGTACGGTAACCATCCAAAAACCCCCACTGCCAAAATCACACAAAAGTTTCTACAAAAACCACGGCATGACCGAGCGTGTTGCCTGACTTAAATCCAAAAGAACACCTGTGTGGGGTGTTTTAAGGGAAATGGTGGAGCAACACAAGCCCTCCAGCAAAGATCACCAAAAAAAAAATAGCCTCCGAAGAATGGCTGAACATCTCTCCGGAGATGTCCTCAATGCAAAGGAAGGATCTAAAAATAAAAGATGGAGATCCAAAGTACGGAAAAGATCGTAATGAAAGGAGCCCCTACTTGTGAAGCGTGTACTACAAACACAGTAAATCTGAACTCTTTTTAATTTCACATAAGAGCAAACACCCAGAAGTGGTGCAGCAGTTATTGGGAGATAATACAATATAGAATCACTTGACAGTTACTACACAGAGGTGGACTCACTTGCTGAACCTTCATGCAGGAGCCCAGCATGAACGATCCATAATACATGACTCACAGTATTTTTCAGATCAAAACCACAACCTTTCTCTTACAGCTTCAGGATGCATTACACTCAATCATATAGGTTTTCAATCTGCTAATGACCTGTGGTTGCGGACGGATGACAAAACCACATCCAAAATCACTGACATGGATTTTAACCCTTCTGTAACAATCATTCTGGAGACCGTATAAGAGTGTGTGTACATGTTGCATACCCCATCACCTACAACTTCCCCCCCAGGGCTATTGATGCAACAGAGCAGTTACTCCTCAGTAAGCCTGCTGCCTGACTATCATCCAGTGAGCCCAGAGGGAGAGCTAAAGGCCCTGCAACTCTCAACAGCCACGAGTGACTACAGCAGCAAGGAGCCTTTTGTGTGCGCGAGTGTGTGACCGCTTCATGACTTAAAAACTCGTGAAACAGATGTAACGTAGTCTCCACATCGCATATATTTAACAGCATGAGATAGGAATGCTCGTCTCCACATCGGGGGAATGCAGACGAACCACCCTTGAAGTGCTTGAACAGGTACTGCAGCCCGAGTGTAATCAGTAACCGCATGGCATGCACACACAAAAACTACTCGAGCAAACAATGATAAAATGTCGAAACTGTGAGGCAAAGTGTTGGTGCTTTGTTTTATCATCACTGCCTCTGCGTGACTAACGTTAGCCTCCTCCCCTGAAGTCCTGCAATGGGACGCGCACATTGACCATTGCCCTCTGAACCACATTCACTCCAGTTCACACCTTAAGTTCTCATTCAAGTATTTGTTGTGCCAATACAGGCCGTAGGAGTTGTTAACAGCGCCTACAAACCCCACTAAATACTCCTGATGTATGCCTGCTGTGCTGGTAGCAGGACACTGGACACACAAGTTTGACTACAACCATTCTGAATGATTTGTTGAGGCAAATAAACTCTTTGACTGAAAGTAGATTCACGTTGGAAGAAGGCGTGGAAGTATTCCAACCTTAAGATAATAGCATTTTTTCTTTCTATCCATGGCTGGAACAACCTGGATGGGGGCACAGATTTCCACTTTTTTGCCTTTCTGTATATGATATCTTATCCAAGTGTTATATTTTCCCAGTAGGCATATCAGTGCTGGAACACTGCCTGGCCACAGGGTTGGTAGGTATCAATTAGTGGCAAGTTTGATTTAAACTGCCTTAAGGCCCCAGATTTTTGGTTTCATTGTGCTTTAAAGGAAGCACATTTCCACTTAAGGGGTTCATTTAATGAAATAATCAAACCCAAAACTGATACAGTTAAAGGAGCCCATTGGATAAATAACTAGTTTCAAGTGTTTAAAGCCATTTAAGTGGAGATTTCTTGGGTTTTACGCACAAAAATGCGCATTTAACTGCAATACTGGCCAAACCTCCCAAGAGGAAACTGTTGTAAACTTGCAGAATAAGAATCATGTCACGTCTCCTGAGTGGCCACAGCACCGCCGTCTAACTGTGGTGAAGCTTCAGGCATAAACACATCAAGCATGCAGCCTGATAAACAAACAGCCCGTGCGCTCTCGGTCCTCACCTTGAACTCCACAGACAGCTGCGGCGTGTACTCCAGCGTCCACAGCGCTCGAACCAGCGACGCCAGCTGCTCGGTTACTTCTCCCCTGGCGGTCTGCGGCTCCTCTCCTCTCACCTCCCCGTTCAGCCTCCGGTGGCACGTATCCGGCTTGTACTGCTCCAGACCGAGGTACTCGGCCAGCACGTCCGTGTTGCTGAGGCACTGAACCACGGCGTTCATGAAACAGGTGTTGCCGTGGTTCTTGAGTCCCAGCACCCCGGGGGTCTTGTCGCCGTAGCACCACGACAGCCTGTCTTTCACCGAGCCGTGTGAGGAGGAGACCGTGGAGCTCTTCTTCACGGCTCCGTCCCTGCAGTCGTCTTTGAACCCCCCCGAGGCGCTCTGCCCGAAGCCGCCGTCGTCGTCCTCTGCGTCCGGCGGCTCCGCGTCGCCAAAGTGCGCCAAAGTGCCCAAAGTTTTAAGGATCCTTCCCATGAAATTCCCAAAAGACCGCAGCGATTTCCTCCTCACGAACCTCCCGGTTTTGTATTTCTTCTCCTTTCGCTTGGTAGTTTTGGGTTTCATGGGCTGCTTTCTTACCTTGTTTTCCTTGCGGGTATCCATGGCTCCGAAACAGGACCGAGAGAAAATGAAACAGACTGTGGAGTCGCACCTGTCTGCCAGGCTGTCTACCCCTCCTCCTCCTCCACCTCCTCCACCGCTTCACTTCTCTCCACAAACCTCACACCGCTGCGCTGGCACCGACTCGGTGCCAATAAGGCACATGATTACTGATATTACTCCCTTGGCATCTCCCCGGTGTCACCAAGTCGGCGCGTTTTGTTGGCTGGCCTCCCTCCCCGCAGGAACTACAGAGATGAGCGGCTCTCCTGCCTCCACATCGCAGGTTCAGTTGTTGCACTTCCTCGTCGGCGGCTCTCAGCGCTGGATCGTGCGCCTGGCGGTCTTTTGACTCTCTCCCTCTCTGTGTTGCTCCCTCCCTCCCTGCCTCCTTCCTCTCCTTGTCTGTGGAGCTACCCATGAACTACTTGGAGGATCCTGTCTAACGCCCGCCCCTCACACAGGAATTTAATTAACCTGGATTGGATTACTTAGTCATAGTTTATCACACTCGAAACGCGCGCACAACGAACAGTGGAGTCATTCAGCCATGCTGGAACTTTGCTGATGACTGTGGGAACAAGGAAGTAGTTGTGTTTAATAGGTGTCAAGCTCTGTAGCCTTAAACTGCCCCCTGTAGGACCAATTACACCATCACCTACCATCACATCTTCTGAATTTGTCAAAGAAATTGACATTGGCTGGATGATCCTTTGAGAAAACCTAAAGATCCAGAGAAATACAGCGTGACTGTCAAACTGCTCACTGATCTCCACGTGTTTCTACACTAATGTATATGTGTGTGGGGGCCTCATTCTCCAGGCTGGAGGAACCCCACTGACACTGCATCTCTGCCCCCAAACCCCTCACCACGCTCGCTTTTTAAAAAGGATTATTAAGTGGTTTACACAACATCCTGTGTGATCTTACACACTCTTAAGGGAATAAGTTGTATATTTTTGCACATTGTAAAGATTTCTATGATACTTTGGATTTGCGACACTTGCTTTTTAATCTTTTTCCTCCATCAAGTCAGATGTGAAAGCCGAGCCAGCATCAAAACTGATTCTGACACACAACATCCCGTATGAAGGTAGTAAGATGCACCGTTCACATCACCTGCATACAGAACCTGCTTTGGCTTGGTCACTCATTTTGGGCAAGTCTGAGTCCCAACTTTTTTCATTTCCGTTAAAGAGGTTCTAGCCACTGAGTGGGATAAATACATCTTGTGTAAGACCTCATTCAGTTCAAAGTCGGCTCCATCCTAGCAAAGTTAGATTATCAAACATTTATCCAAGCCTCTCTGATATCTGTGACAGATGCTCTCCGGCACCACCAGACTTGACTCATATGTTCTGGTCAGGAGTATTGGAGATCCTTTTTTTGACTTTATATCTAAGTTCCTGGTTGCTTCACCCCAGATAGCCATCTTTGGCATCCCCGAGGAGGATACTAAAGTGACTGCTAAACAACCTAACATCATCTCTTTGGCCTCCTTAATTGCTTGTCGTTGGAGCCTCCTTCGATGGAAAAATCGATCACCTCCCTCAAACTTCTCTTGGCTGCGGGACCTAATGTCATTTCTGAAGTTGGAAAAAATTTAATTTGCTGGCTCATCTGAAAAATTTTGCGAACACTGGCAACCTCTCATCTCCCATTTTGGAACATTGCAGTCGCTTTCATTAGACAAGGGTCCTGGAAACAGAACCAATAGACACAGACGGGTTCAGAATTAGATGGTGGGTGACTGTGTGGGTTGTGATAGCGCTAGTGGTTTTGTGTGGTTCTTTCTTTCTCCTTATACTTATATACATTTACAATTAATACATTTAACAATTAATTTACATGATCTACTTATTTATGGGAGAGAACGGTTGTGGGGAGGGAGAGGGCAGGGGCAATTGTTTCGGGGGAAAAAGAAAAAACATGAATCTGTAGCAATATAATCTGTGTATTGCACGTTGAATTTTGCAGATTTGGTTAGAAAAAAAGGTTCCAGGAACACTCAAAGCAGTAGAAAAGGTTTTATAACCTTCTTCTGATAGGTGCTGCACCACAATTTTATTCACAGAGGTCTACAGATAGTTCCTTGGACTTTATGGGTTGGTTTTGGTCTTGGTGTGCCATGTGGACCTTATATGGACAGATGTGAGCCTTTCTAAACTCTGTCGCATGCCATAAATTTGTCACAGCTGGCCTTCAATCAAGTTCAAGTAATCAAAGCAACCTGATGCACCTGATTACAACATGGAGTGTCACAGCAAAGTGTCCTTTTGCAAAAGATTTCAATGACAGTACAATTACAATTTTATCAATTTCAAATTCCCCCCCCAAAAAACTTAACCAAACATTACAATACAAGAAGGTGTACAAAAACATATCGGGGTCCGATTACTGTATAAATCCAGTAGTCACATCGTCCCGTCTCTGCAGAAAAAGTAATGTAATACAGCCATCGTTTCTCAGTCAATTTATTTCTGTTAGATCAGAGTGTAAATCCACTCCACTGTGTTCGTGTAAGACTGCTGAATTATTTCAGGAACATTTGCTAAGTCAGAGGAAAGATGTTAAAAGAAAAAATACTGAATTTTTTTTTTTTTAAATAATTTGAGTTCAGTCGTGACACGAGAATGCAAAATAATGGATTCAATCTCGCTTTCTGATTCTGCGAGTGTCCGTGCCACATTAAGAGGACAGCGGGTGAGGAAACTTCCACCGGAGAACGGCTCCGTCTGCGCTGGTGCTGAGTAAGGTGCTGTTGTTGTCGCAGATCTTCACACTGGTGATGGTGCCGCCGTGAGCTATCCCCACGTGGGTCACTACGCCTTCCATGTAGTCCCACACTCTGACCAGCTTGTCTTCTCCACCTGGCATGAAAAAGCGAAAAACATATCGATAACCTGAGAGAAATTTGAGCCGAGTGTGGTTGAATGTCAAGAGTTATTTAACAAAAACATACTATTTGAAACTGCACAAAGAAACAGTTGCTCTGGATGTGTGTATATTTAGCAATGGAACAAAATGATGATGTTTACAATGAGGAGAGCTTGTAGATTGCAAATTTATTTTTGGTTGAATTGTACTGACATGAAAATCACACACACACAAAAAAAAGGAGCAACAAGAGGCAAATGTGTAATGGGGCGTACCTGTCACAAAGTGTTTTCCGTCCTGCGAGATGTGCATGCCGTTGATGGCCCCAGATGGCGAGGCCTCCCATTCTCTGAGGGCAGAGCCGTCGAAAACGTCCCAGTAGGCAACCTGAGGGGAAAATTAATACGGAAAAAAATCAGTTGCGGGTGTTCGTCGTTGTTTATAGAAGAAACAAAGAGGGAGGTAGTGCCAGTGTGCTTTACATTGACGCAGCGGGGTTTCTTTTCTTTACTGCACAGACTCTAAGTTATAAAGCAAGACAGCAAGGAGGAAAAATCATTAAGTATGCAACATAAATAATACAAAACCTTTTGATCTTTTCTTTTCTGCAGCTTCAAGTGTCGCATCAGTTGCTACAGATGATTGATGGGGTTAAACAGGCCACTGCTAACGAGATGATGCAAATGACAACGTGCCTGTACTGCTGTGCTATTGTTGTATCACATCATTAGACGCATTCCAGTTACTATTTTAATAATATGCAATATGTGACCTCTGACTATCGCCTCTACTGCGTTATTATTCTGTATGGAAATGACATGGTCAATGGTTAGATTCCACCAACTCGTCACACGCGCCTATCGGATCCATGTTTGCGGATATAAATGAGATTTGATCATCCCTGGGGCTTAACAGCTGTCAAAGTATCAAGTCTCACAAAAGGCAATTGTGAGCTGAAGTTATTTATAGCGCAGGCGGCAGAAACATCACAGCACCACGGACCAAGAACGGTCCTCTCTTGCTATTTATATATCGCCAAGCTGATTACACCTTCAAAGCAAGGTGCCGTAAATGAAGGTCCACGTGGATTTGATCGTTAAAATCAGTCTGTGTGAATGAGTCTCTAGTACAAGATTTAGTGGCTCATCTTAACACTGACATCTGTGAGTCTAACAGTCCAGAAGTCATTTCGAAGTTCGTACTTCAAAGTCGATTCGGCGTCGGAAGAACGGGATGAAAACGTGCACATTTTCATAGGCTGGCTATTTGTAAAAGGGAAAGGATCATGTAACACACAGCTGCTCAGAATAAGCCCAACATTTATTAGAAGAGCCTCTGAGAGCAGATTTCATTTCTCTGCACAAGACCATCCCTATAATACATTACCGAAAGGGAAATGTAATCTCACACACATATATCAAATGTTGTTGGCTATCATGGAACAAAAGGGCTCGGCCAAAAACAAGAAAAGAAGAATCTCATTTCTATTTCCAGAGCTGCAGATTGATTGTCAAAGCAATAAGATGCCCTCACAGGCCACTGGAACATTTGTGCATGTGTGTGGGGGGTCGTTTGAGTCTACAGTATACGGTAATTGGCTTATTTAGATGGAATAGCTCGCCCATATTATTATTTCCACGAAATAACTTTGCAAAACATAATTTTGACAAACACAGCCACCACCAGAGGGGGAGAGGGTTCATTATGAACACCAGATAGGAAGTACTGAAATCATTTTCAGCTCTTCCTCACGTAACTTTGTGTCAAATCAGAATGTAAGGTTTACAGCTGCACAAAGGACTCCTATACATTCATTCATGCATATTCCCATTTGGGGCTGCAAGGTGGAGC